TGTGTATTCCAATGAGATCGGGTAACAAGTTTAGCACCTATTTATTTATTTGTTTGCAATCTAAACTTTTATAATGTCTCTTGGTTATTTATGGACAGTATAAGATTACAATTTAATATGCTAACTCACCATATCTCCCTTCTTTAAGATAACTATTATGATTTGGAAAATATTTTGGAAAGAATCAGGAGGACTGTAGTTATGGATTCTCAATTTTTGCATTTTGGTAGTCAGAGTTCCCTTCCTGTCTGGATTCAAGTGATTTGAACTAGAATTCAAAAGCTGGAATTAATAGTAGTCGTTATTACAGGAAAAGTAAAAATTTCAAGAATTACAGTAAATATTGTTTTCAAATGAGATCCCATATATTATCTCTATATGTTGGTATATCTCTATATTGCAATTTTAAGGTGCAAAACTCTTGTCCACTTTCTCCTCCTTTTTCTGTGCAGAGTGTTGATTATCTTTGTCATTTTTTGAAATACTAGCAGTCTTCATCTGTTTTTTGTTGTGGTAAGTGTCAGTCTTCTTACTGTGTGAGAAGTAACTTTCACATCTGCCTGGGACTTGCTAGTGGCAGACTTAAAATTAATTATTGTAAATTATTTTTTGTTTTGAGTATTTTATCTGCCTATCAACTTGAGTTCCACAGCTGTATGCACAATTTTAGTCACCACTAGTTAGGTTGTAAATTTTAGTGAATCCTTAAATGAACAAAAGCTGACACAGTCTCTGTATGGTAGGAAATTAAACATACTATAACATTGCAGGATCCAATTTGAGTTGGACAAAGATTTATTCTTCCAAGCTTTCGGGCTTGAGCCCATCATCAGGGAACATCTCTCCCTTCAGAATATGTGCTCTGGGCTGTTCTACACGTTGTATTTATATAGTTCCTGGATGTATATAGCTTTTGGTTGTTAATTAGGATGTTGGAGGCTGGCTATTAAGTCATTAATTGTTGTTTTCTTGTTCCTACACTCCAAAGTGCTTGATATGCTGGTGGTAAATCAGCACTCCTATTGACTGACAAAGGGGGTCCAATGATTTCTCTGGTTGTCCCTGCTCAGTTAACAATTGTAGTTGTGAAATTGAACACATGTCATTGTTCATTACAATGTGAAGCTACCAATGAGTTTGGGTCTCTTCGTTTAACTGCTCTCTCATGTTCTTGCACTCTGGTGGTTAGCTTCCTCCCCATCTGTCTCACATAGTGGCAGGGCATTCTGTGCTGGGAATCTGATAAATGTACATTCAAAGTTTCTCTCAATCCTTACAGTGCATACTTAGGAGCTGAGGGCACAGCGGCACAATGAAACAACAATTAATGACTTAATATCCAGCCATCAACACCCTAATTAACAACATTCAAGGGGGTCAGACTTTGCCCTCTTGTGCCTGTACAAGGACTCCAGACTTATTCCCCGCTTGACTCCTCTCTCCCGGACTCTACCAGTCTCTCTCCAGCACTAGTATTTTCTGGTTGCCCAAATACCTGTTTCATCTGTAGCTCCTCTTTGTTCTTCATTCAGTTACCATCATTACTCTTTGTTTAAATTTTACCCTTATTTTTGTAGCAGAAATCCTACCTTGCTGAACTCAAAAAGATATTAGAATGTATACTCTATTTTTGGTTTCTCACCATGAAACTATTTGTGCTTTATGTTACCCATGGGGGAAGCTCTGAAACTGAGAGACAGGAAAGCTGTTATAGAACATCTTTTGACACCTTCATTTTACCAATGAGCCTGGACTGAAGTGTTGCAGAATGTGCATTAATTGAACAACAACAAATCCATTCTGGATTCTTAATGTGAGATGTTGAGAAGGTACTTAAGGATTTCTGATACTCCAAGATCTGTATGAAGGCAGAACCTTTTATTTAAAATTCCCAATTGGAATATTTGTTTGATTAAAGAAAGTCATATCTTTTCCTAGTAATGATCCTTGAACATGCAGGCAGGATTTGAAATAATGAAATTTGTAGTGAATGCAAAACACATTTTGTTTTAAACAAAAAACAAATCATGTTCTGTGAGTTACGTTGAATAATTTGGCAGAAACAAAATCTGGAACATTTTGATTATTTTGGATTTTGGCTGAAATATAAAATGCTGTACAGAGAAAGACTGATAAATGTCACTCTCTTCTCCCTCTCAGCAATTCTCACTGACTAGCATGTCTTTGATTTTTCTGAAGTAATTCTAGAATATGACAGATTTTTTGTTCATGTTCTTGCAAGATAGCTTTTTTTCCCCAGGATCTGAGCAGTGAAAAGGTAATTTGCCTTTCAGCCAAACAGTTTTTTGTTTCAGTTTAGTTAATTGCTGTTTCTGTTATTAAGTAGTGTCGTTGTGTGCATATTATATTTTAGGTTTTTTATCCTCTATTATCGGTATTCAAGATTTTTTTGAAAGTTAAAAAGAAAGATCAAGGGCACACATTTTGGCTACCCGGTTGTTTCTACTAAACTAAATTGAATATGCACTTTGAAAGGCTGCTTTGTATGGTGGTAGTCCTTGTCCCTCTACTCAGAGCAAGAAAGAATCAACCTCATAAATTTTGTAATTGTCTCAGCACATTAACACAAACTCCATTGCTAAAAGGCTGAATAGAAAATATTAGTTAGCAATGACATCAAAAGTTCTGAATGTGTAAATGTAGGGTATTTAAGTTAAAAATGCACACTTAAATGTAATTATTGGCAGCATGGGTCCTATGAAACAATTCACCCTGTAAAATGTTAAATTACCAGCCTACTTGCTGACAAAGCATACTTCTGGTTCTGTTTTAAAAAACAAAAACGTAATGTGCTACAGGCTACACTTGTTTGCAGAACGTTGGGTTTAGAGTCAAAATCTTAGGCTTCAGGATAAATAAATAATACTTTAATTGCCTAGGTCTGTTTTCAGAAAGTATGTCAGAATATAAAATCAACAGATTAATTAGACTTCAATTAAAACAGCATTAGTGTATAAAGTGTAAAATTGCTGCTGTAAAAGTTTTATTCTTAGGTGGCACAAATGTATTCTTTTCGTACTGTTAGACTTGTTAATAGCAGGCATTCAACATGCATTTAATTGGATAGTTAATGGCACATATGGTGTTTATAAGAAATACACCTTTGCTGTATCAAGGAAAAATGGGCATACAGAGGGTTTTTTAAAAAGGCATTGCTATGGGTCAAAAGAAAATGTTGTCTATCATATGGTTGTGCAGTGTGTTTGAATGGTATTTAATAATAGTAATTCATTAAGTTTATATGCCGTGTGACTTCCAGTGGCTCTGGGAAGTTTACTAATTGTTAAAAACACTAGAACAAGGAAAATACAACAATCCAAAAACAATCCAAAACAAAGGAAGAGAGATGACAAAGAACGCAAACCTAGATGTGAACAAGGGAAAGGAAGAAAAAGCTGTCAGTTGCCTTTGTCAAAAGCCCTGAGCAAAGACGTGTGTTATCAAGGCTCTTCAAAATACCAATGGTGGTGGGGGAAACGGGGACATTCAAAGTTGGTAGAATCTGATTCTGAAGGGCAAGCACTGCTACAAGTGCACTTCCAGGGTCCTGATAAGTGTATTGTTTAATCAATGGATTATGCCAATCCTGCCAGATTGAAGATAGTAGATAGATTGTTAGATAGTATAGGAAACAGGGATCCCTCATGTAACCAGATCCTATGCCTTGTAGCACTTTATTGGTAAAGACCAGCACTTTGAATTGTACCAACATAAGAGCCAAGGTGGCGCAGTGGTTAGGGTGCAGTATTGCAGGCCACTTCAGCTGACTGTTATCTGCAGTTCAGCGGTTCNTCCCCACTCTTGGGGGAAGGATATTGCAAAATCTCCATTCCCACCCCACTCTGGGCGCAGCCAGAGGTGGTATCTTCCGGTTCTCTGAACTACTCAAAATTTCTGCTACCGGTTCTCCAGAGCCTGTCAGAACCTGCTGAATTTCACCCCTGGTCCTCATTCTACCAACCTCAAAAGGATGGAAAGTTGAATCAACCTTGAGCCAGTAAGGATTGAACACCCCACCCTTCTGGCAGTCAGTAGAATTAGCCTGCAATATTGCATTCTAACCACTGTGCCACCGCGGTTCAGTTCTTGTCAGACATGTAAGGTTGTCTTGAATAGTGTTGATGTTTTAGAAGAAATAGTTGTCATTATGAACTAGGGGGTAGTTCCTGCTTAAAAAATCACTTGTTCAATTACAATTCTAAGTTGTGACAGCATTGAATGAGTGGCACTTACAACTAATCCCAAACATTCAAGCCATTACATACTCCGATCCTGTGGGCATATGATTGCCATTTGTGCCTTTTCTGCTGTCTAACCCGCGAACAAAATCAATGCAGAAGCCAGCAGGGAAAGTTGCAAGTCAGTCCAGTAGTGCCCCTAGCCTCCCTCCATTTGTATAGTGGGGTGTCCTGCTTCCCCCCATCTTCCCTGTATTCGCATGGCTTCTTCTTCTTCTGGCCTCCTTTCATTGGCATAATGGCTTTCTCCCCTAGCCCCACATCATTCCTATGGTGTAGCAGTGTCCCCTTTTTTAATTCAGCCTCCTTTTGCCTATGCACAGCCTACACCCCACCCCACCCAACAGCAACCCCACAGTCTTTATCTCAGGGTCCCATTGCTTCCCACACAACAGTTTGTATGTCCTGGAGTTACAACAGCAACTGCGTCTGCAGTTATCACTAAGAGTTAGCAATCACATGACAACACTTTTTACAACCATATTGTTCAGCGATGGCAATCTTGGTTCCAACTGCCTCATACCCCAAGGACTACTTCTATGCAACTAAGAATGAAATTCATATAGACAGTTTCTTTTTCGTCTCCAGAATAGCACAACCAGCTGACAAGCTGTAATATACTATTATGATAAGAAAATACTCTGCTGGTAATAGAGCTCCAGAACTTTCTTTTTCTCAATCTAAATATGTTGAAGAAGTCTGTTAAATGCTCACCTAATTCTTATACATTTTCTCTCACAGATGTCACCACTACTGCAATTTACCAGTCCAATTCAAACCAAGATCCCCAGGCATTTTCAAATGCTTATTGGTGGTTGAGACAGATAAAAGTGGAACTCTTACTATTCAACTAATTGGTGAGGGTTTGGCAGAAAATAGTTAAATATGTTGTTAACGATGCACACTTTGACTAAATTATTAAATTTCCATTTTTGTATACAAAATAAATGTATAGGTAACTCAAGTATTTGTAAATTTTAATAAAGTAAATTTATTAATGTATGCTATCATGGAACCAGTGCACTTTTGCTGTTGAAAGCAGCAATGTAAGTAACTTGTTTTGATTATGACTTCTTAAATGATAATGTATCAGTTTAGTTTTTTAAAAAAAATAAAATTTTCTTTATATATTTCCCCTTTTGTTGTGTTTATTGCTAACTCTTCTTTATATCTCCTATATGAATATTTTGTATCTAATAAAATCAAACTCTATAACTTTCAACTGTATTGTTGAAAGTTGCTATCAAAGTTGTGTGCCCGCCTGCTCATTATTGCAGTACAAGTTCCCATAATATGGTCTTAGGCCAGCTGGCAATGGTGTTATTAAATCTCATCTAGGAATGTTAAAGATTGAATTGGAATTTGTATGTTTAAAAGTGGCAAAGGTTCTGTGAATGTTTCAATTAAATCATTTCTTTCAGATGGGCTGAAAATGATAACATTGTTACAAAGCATTTATAACACTGTAACCGTCTCAAGAGCATGCAAATTGTTCTGGATACTTTCACAAATGAAGGTTAAATTGCTCCAGGAATTGAGTAATACATAATGGTTCCAAGTAGACTACTTGATGTGAAGGTTAAATCTGTCCAGAAGTTGAGTAATATATAATGGTTCCAAGTAGACCACTTGATTCCAGCTGATTTGAGAACAGTAAATTAATTGTGTGACCTGTGTTGAAACTCTTGGCAGTCAATAATGTATAACAGATCATTGACTATTGTAATGAGTATTGGTGCTATAGTCTCTATTACGGATATACAGATTATAAGAAATCTCTGTTCTGTTTGGATTTAGCTGCAGTTTATGTGTATTATGTTCCCTAGAATTTTATTAAATATGCTGTAGATGCATCAGCACGTTTCCCACAATCTTCCTGCCCAGATATTATTTTCAGCAGTACCCAGTCTGCTACTTACAATATGGAATTAGCAGTAGTTTGTAGTTTGCATATTCACCCCTCATCTCTGTAAAAACAGACATTATATTCTTCTCCGTCTCTGTGTGTTGCCTTAGAGGGGAAGATGGTAGCAGGACTTTCTTGGGTGCCATCCAAGCAATTAAATACAGACCTTCTCGGAGGTGGAGGAGCCAACGTCGCGATGATACGGACGTGTGGTCTCGATATTCTGAGACCGCAGCCGGTACTTTTGCCGCTGGGTAGTCCAATTGGACCTAATCCGTCCTGCAGACGGATTCAGAGAGTGAAAGTGTTTCCAGCTGGTGAGGAATTTTTACCACTTTAAAAGAGACGGACTATAAAAAACTTAAAGTTTATTTAAATTTGAAAACAGAAGAAATAAGCGGCGGAATTAAGCTTTGAATGGTTTTGGACAGTGGGTTATTTTACTTTTTAAATGTTATTTTCATGGATGGAATTTATGCAAGTCTTTTAAACCGAATGGATTAAGTTTTCTTCTTCTTCTTTTTTTTGCAATCTATGGACTAAAATTCTCCTTCTTCATTACTGCGTGTGTTTTTCCCTTTTTCTTCTCTATTTCACTCAAGAATTTGACTTTTTTAAAACTTGGAATAAAAAAATGATAAAAAAGCAATAAAGAAAATTGTAACAACAGAGGGGAATACGACACTGCTACTTGGAGGCTGGATGTTTGTGTATTGGAAACAAAACACTTTTACTTTCTTCACTGATTATTCTGGCTTGGCACTTCAAGGTCTCACTGTTTTGTTTATAGAGAGTGATAAGAAGAAAAGCATACAGATGTTCCTTTGAAGTATATCTTTAACCAGAGAAAAGTGAAAATAAGANCCCTCCCGCGGCCCCGCTCCTTTCTTCCCGCGGCTCCGGGTCTGCTGCCTGCTGTCACGAAGAGCCAGACTAGCTGCAGCCGGGCAGCAGCCGGGGAGGGACGGGAGGGGGCGGAGGAGCCGGGAGCAGCAGACGCAGCCTCCGCGCGCAGGAGACAGACTGAAGGGAGGAGGAGGCGGCGGCTGCGAGGGTCTTCAGCTGCTCTGCGAAAAGGCAGCCCTCCGCCCGGGGGCGGCTGAGATGGAGGGGCTTTCGGAGGGAAGGTGAGTGCGGACAGCCTGGCGGGCTTTTCCTTCTCCAGCCTTTGCCTGGTGGCGGGATGCGGCTGTCGCTCCCCGCCAAGGCAGACAGGAGTTGCTACTCCAGGACGACGACCTAGACAGCTATCAACTAAGTGTCGGGCAAAGTGACGGGAGGCCCAAGTTTAAGGTCTGGGGCTGTTAAAGGGACCAGGCGCTGCCGGGCTTGCTCTGGGGAAGGTACCTCGCCTTCTCCTTTGTGCCTTTGGGTTGCTGCCGACCTCCCGGGCTGGGCAGCCGAAGTGCGCGCGGGAGACGAGGGGATGCGCGGATGCTGGCAAGCAGGCGGGCAGGTTTCCCGCAGCGAAAGATGCGGTCGGAAAACGCCGGTTAGATCAAAAGCCCGGAGGTTTAGACTTGACAGCAGCCGTACTTCTCCAAACTGCCCATGCCCGGGAAACTTGGCCACATTTGGACTCCTCGCCTATCTTTCAGGAGGCGAAACGAGAACAGGAAATGTAGAACGGAGTAACCCCGCGGGGCTTACCCGCTCGTGTGCCTGTTACCCCCTCAGCCAGGCTTCTTTCTGGAGGCATGTCGCTACAAGAAGTTAGCCTCGTGCTATTGCTCTTTTATTTAGTTATAATGGGATTTTTTTTTGTTCGACTTGACGAGGGCTTTGGGTTTCTCCGTGCGTGTCGTCTGCGTGCTCCTGAGTAAACTGTTTTTGTTGTCTCATCCTTATATGGTAAATAAAGCCAGAAAGACGAAAGGCATGTGGTTGAATTGATAGTTTAGATGGGCTGCTCTGGAGATCTTGGGGATCTTTTTAGCGTTGTGAGAGAATGGGAGCTGCATCTCATGTAATTTATAAGTAACTCTTTATAGCGTGGGACCACTGCATTACAGAAAAGGGAGGATTGATCTTATTTTTCAGATCAGTTTTTGAAGTAAGTGTGAATATTCTTGTCATCTTTGGGAAAGTTTTCAGTCCTTGACAGTAAAAACACACATCCACTTGGCTATGTATTCCAAAATAGTCTGCAGAAACTAAAGGGGTCTGTGTGCTATGAACTAAATTATGGAAAATGGAATCACATATGTAACTTTCATAGGAGAGGTGATAAGTGTCCATTTAAGACTGAACTAATGGGAAATCAATACTGGTAGGAATTGTTTTTTCTCTTTGTACATATATTTCAGTTTAGATATGCTTACACTTTTAAGTTCAGTTTTGTTATAAATGATGATAAATTTATATGATACTATTTATACTATAAATTTATACATGTTTATTTTATCTTACATATGTATAATTTTGCTTCCTTGATCATCAGAATACTTTGATGGCAAGGGTGTTTTTAAAAAGTTGAAATGAACATAGAAACAATCAGATAAGTCTGTATGTTGCTTTCCTATTTTGCCCTCCCTCCCCCAAAGAAAAGCCCAGAAACTGTCTTATGGTACACAGCTTAAGTTAAGGTGACAGGTATGTTTCTTTTAAAGTTTGACCATATAATATTGTCCAAAGATTTTATATATGTATGTATGTACAACAAAAATTGCTCCGCACATGCACAGAAGCAAAAAACAAGATCAATGCTTTGTGGCATCCTAGATGAACTGGTTCAGGGGCACGACAGGCATGGTTTCAGCAACCCAGGCCACCAAGCTACTGTCAGTTCAGACAAACCAATAAGAACCACCTCTGGTATCCATGTTTACTTAGATGTAAATCCCTCCATGTTCAATACAACTGTAAGTACTTGTATGTAGTAGCTGACAACCCCTTGTAGTTGAAAGTCCCTGTAATGAGGATACTTAATTTTAGCAAATGTTCTTAATAGCTTCTTGTTTCTGATTGTTCTTGATTAGCATTTTGAATGTCCTTGCATTTCAAAGTTATTCTTGAAACACAGATTTATATTTGTCTAATCTGGTATAAGTCTCATTGAATGGAAATTTTATGTTTAGTTTTCTCCACAACTCTTTGCAGGTGGTACAGTTATTCTGGAGCTACTAGGAAGCATTTAAATACTGCGGCTTCCCTGTTACTAGAAATAAATGAGATATGTTATTGGTAAAGACATTATGAAGGATAGCATAATTAAAACTGGTGAATGTCCCAACTTCATTGCCAGCTGAAATAGTGAGAAAATGTTCTGCATGTCTGTGTCCATAAAGTACAGATATTAAGTTACTGACTGTGAATGAGCTGCAAATTTGTATAGTGGCAGAATCTTAACTGCAAAACATCCTATATCCACAAATATGTATATGTGTTGTTCTTTAACATACTGTTTAATTCTACCATAATCCTTACATAATTATTTCTACATATGCACAGGTAATAGATATTCCTGTTTTATTAAATATTAACAATGTAATGGGATAGGAGAGGAAGAATACAAACCGGCAACTTTGAATACCAACTTATTTTTATCATAATGATAATGTGCATCTACAAATCTTTTTCTCCGCTTAAAAATGTGAGCAAAATCTGGCATAAAACTCCTTTTTGTGTTCTTTTTCCACTCCCTCAATGGTATCAATAGCTATGTGGCTGTATTTATGAATGGAAACATGTAGTAATACCAAAATTGGTGCCATGCTGCTCGCTTGATCTGCTGAAGAAGCAGTATGGGCAAAGGTGTGAGCACCTGTGCCCTGTCCTTGTGGACAATATGTCTTTCCCCCCCGCCTTTCCTAAACCTTTCTTTAATTAAACATTGGTGTCAGTGTAACTTATCATATTGGCAGACAAACACAGAAAATTGATGTGTGAGTTCTAACCAATTTCGTTGTATTTAAGAACAATGACAATAAATATTATACTTATAATAGAGGTATAACACAGTTTAAGGAAAAAAGAAAAAAAATCCTTTAAAAAATCCTAACCTGTTCCACTTTCTCAGAATCATCCACCTTTTTAGTGTAACTCTGATTCCTTAGGGTCATCAAAACATTATCATGTTTAAATTAATGTTCTGGTTTATATACTGTTCTAAGCCATTGTTTGCTTGGACATTTAAAAAAAACCCCATTGGGTGTACTCACCCAATAGGCCAAAAACCATAGTTTACAAACTTTCTGCCCAAATCAAATGAAACGCATTATAGCTTGT